GTTAAACTCAGTTAGATTTTAATAACTAATGCCTTAATAAAAAGGGACTCCTACATTTAGACGAGTACTACAAATTATACGACTAGTGGACTAACAGTAAGGAGAGTGTACCAATATTAAACAGAAGAAATTAATGAAAAATCTTTGCTAGCATGAACGTTTTTAAAGAAATTAAAATTCATAGATATGAAAAGCAAAAATAGCCACACTATGGTTTCTGTGCCTCTATTCAACAGTTTCAACAGTTTTGTTCCTCGTAGCATTCAAATTAGAGGATAAATTCAACAGAGAAAAACCACTGTCACATGCTTGATACATTGCTTGCTTATAGAAGCCATGTTCTAAAAAATACTGTCATCTAACAACATTTAATATTAATGTGAATAAATATATGTTAAAATTAATGTTTGTTTTTTTTTTTCAAGATTATTGAGAACATAGAGAGGATAGAACTGGTAACTTAGATGGCAAAGTTTTTGCCTCAACCGATGCAAACTATATTCGAGTTTTTAGGGAAAAAAATCTTTATTTTTATAACTGCACAAATGAGATGCAAATGTGTCCAACTGCTAATTTTTCAAAAGGAGATGCACTATAAACGAACAAGTCACATCTGCTCGAGACCACACAGATCCTCTACAACCTTCTTTGTTATTACTTTCAGTCCACAAACAGTACAAAACTTTTGTGTAAAGGACAGCATGAAATTAAGCATTTTGCCGTTAGTATACACACTTCCATCAGATGGGAGAGGGAACTGGGTGAAAGGTGAAGGGATTAAGAAGTACAAACTGGCAGTTACAAAAGAGTCACAGAGATGTAAAGTATAACATAGAGAATACAGTCAATAATATTGTAATAACTATGGATGGTGTCGGGCCGGGCGTACAAGGTGTATCGGGGGATCATTTCGTAAGATATATAAATGTCTAACTTACACTTGAAACTAATATCGAATGTCAACTGTAATGAAAAAAATTTTTAATTCAAAATAAAAGCATAAAAATTGTAGAAAATAGCACCTGTGTTTCTTAATTCATTTTCTAATCTCATCATCCGGCGGCGGGGCGGGGGGTGGAAACTATCAAAACAAGAGAACGATCATGGCTTTTAAACCCAGTGTTTCTGCTCCTGAAACAATTTCTTTGTCAAAAGAGTTGACCCTCTTCCTTTTTTCATGTTAAAAAAAAAAAACAAAATAAGATATTGACCTGTTCTTCGACTGTGTTTTCAGCACCGCCATTAATTGTCAAAACATTAACTGTCTGATCACTGATTTCCTCCTTGCCAAATCTTGGAGCTGCCTTTGTGCGGCCCTCCCATCCGCAGCCCTCCCATCCCCGGTCCTCTCTCTCGGGCCTTGTGGTTGACGGCCGACTTCCTCCTGAAACGACAGCATCGCCTCCCTGCTGGACCCAGAGCCGGTCTCTTCGTCTTCGCCCTTTCTATTGTTTCTCTCCTCTTCTTTCTCTCCCAGGTCACCGTCACTACGTGTGGAAATGTTTATGATTTGTGTCGAGCACGCTTTCGCAGCTACAGGACTCTAAGCACCGCCTCACGTCTCCGCTTAGGGCTGGCTGACATCCGATCGGCTTTAGGACTCTCAGACTGGGTCAGAGAACGAACTTTTAAATAAACCCTCGACATAGATTCATCCTTTTTCGCCTCATGGGATCCACTTAAATGATATTCTTAACATCGGTTCCGTTCCATTGGTCCGTTCATCTCTTTTGCCCCAGCTTCTCACTAATCTTATTACTATGGCTCCTTTTAATCCTCCTTTGCTCTTCTGTTTTAGTGAAGGCAGGTGATTTTGTCTGTTTTCACTGATGCGCTCCGCCTTAGTTGGCTCGGACTGCTATGCCAAAATACCATAGACTGTGTGGCTTAAACAACAGACATTTATTTCTCACAGTTCTGGAGGCTGGGAAGTCCAAGGTCAAGGTGCTGGTCAATTCATTTCCTAATGAGGACTCTCCTCCTGGCTTGCAGATGGCCACCTTCTTGCTGTGTCCTCACATGGCAAAGAGAGAGAGCGAGCTCCAGTCTCTTCCTGTTATTAGGACACTAATCCCTTCATGAGGACCCCATCTTCACGACCTAATCTAAACCTAATTACCTCCAAAAGGCCCCACTTCCAAATACCATCCCATTGGCAGTCAGGACTTCAATATGTAAATTCATAACATAGAGAACACATCCTCTAGAATGGGGGCCCCCAACACCTGGTCTGCGGACTGGTATCAGTCTGTGGCCTGTTAGGAACCAGGCCGCACAGCAGGAGGTAAGTGGCAGGTGAGTGAGCAAAGCTTCATCTGTATTTGCAGCTGCTCCCCAGCGCCAGCATCACCACCTCAGCTCTACCTCAGATCATCAGGCATTAGATTCTCACAGAAGCACCGGTCCCTGGTGCCAAAAAGGTTGGGGACCGCTGCTCCAGAGCACAGCCTGTCACAGGAGAGGCACCCCAAAATCTGGCTGAATGAAAAGTAAGGCCCATTGTTCTTCCGTTTGGGATTTTTTTGAAGGAATATTGTGCCCCTATGCCTCTTCAGCAAGGAGATTTTCTGTAAAGTTCCATGAGGCCGGGCAGAGCTGCCGAGAATGATGTGGACAGAGAGTCCATCTCATGCAATCTTCCCACTACACCATACTGTTAGGTCTGGCCTCAGGCTGTGCCAAAGGCATAGATGCTCAGCCTCATGGCCACCCGAGACAATCTCATTCTTTCACCTCATTCATCTCCACTGACTGGTCAGTCCCCAAAGCAGTGTTTTGCCCAGATATCAAGGGCACTACCAAATAACTGTTTGTTAACATTTCACATGGAAAAAGGGTTTCACAATATGGCTGGGGTCAGCAGTTCAAGTCAGTAAGATTAGTAAAGCGAGTTTCTGGAAGGAATACTATAGCACAGTAGTTAGAGCATGGCCCCCAAAGTCCAAATTTAGACTCCGTCGACAACTAGGTGTGCGACCTGAGGTAAGTTACGTAAGCTCTCTGTAACTTAGGTTATCAGTCAGGAGACAGAAACCTCCCAAGTCATTTTCACAGTGAGCACTTGCTACAAAAAAATCATTAAATGTGCATAAAAGAACTGAAAAGGCATAAGGAATCCACTAGAGTCTCGCAGATGACAACTGTGTGAATTGGCCACCACCCTGGCCGCCACCCCGGCCACTGCCGACTCGCTGAGTAACCTCTGGGATTCAACTTCACCACCTGTAAAATGCAAGGCTGGGACAAAGAGCCTGAGCTTTCATTCCGCTGCTGTGATATGAGAGTCTAAGAAGCAGAGGCAAAAAAAAATCCACGAGTGGAGTCGATAACGAAGTCAAACATCAAAGAGTATAGTGAGCTATGCTCTGGGGGCTCTCTCCTGGACAGTCAGACCCGGCCTTACCTATTGCTGGAGAAAAAAAATCTCAGTCACCTCCATTCCAGGTCATTAGAGATCTGAGACGCACTTCCTCTTTTATAAGTTTCATGGTCAACTTGGGCTGAGGAGGGTGAGAAATAGCAGACTGAGCCCCTGAAGCAAGCTTAGCGACACACGTCACCTACACGGGTCACCTGCCAGTCTAGGGCAGCAGGACTCTGAAAAGAGCCGAGGCTATTTCAATCAATTCACAGGGGGATGGATTCTGAATAAATGTCGAAAAATTACACACAGAGGCCAGAGATGAAAGACACTCTTCTATAAAGAGGGTAGAAGAAGATGTTGGACGAGGAATACAGATTTTTCTGAATGTTAATACATATCGGACTCTATGCTGGGCACTTTATATGTGACTTACACTCAAGCATTTATACATGACTGAATCCTTACAAAAATTCTGAGGAACTTTTTCTTAGCATTTTATATATGAGAAAACTGACTGGAAATTTAACCGGTTTCCCCACAGATCCTTCTCAGACTCAGAAGAGGTGTGAGAGAAGCCTGAATCATCAAGATTCTTCTTTGGCAGTTTGTTCAAAGCAGGTCACAGACCCAGAGAAAGATCTGGACCGTGAGGGTTTTCTTAAATGAAAATGAGGACAAAATGACCGACTATTGCTGTGGCGCTAACTCAGACCCAGATGCCAAGACTGATGGATTTTCCTTCTGCTTCCTCCGCTGACTTGATGTGTGATCTGTGGTAGTTTCGTTCAGCAGTATCACCTCCCTTGGAGACTAAAGAGAAGTTACTCATATTTTCTCCAAGCATTTTGAGTTTCTTGAATCCCCCTCTCAGGGGAAAAGCCTCGCCAGCCTTCAGGAAATGGAGAACGCGTGGAGCATGCTATGCTGCCAGCTGTTGCCACGGGCTGCACTTTCCAGAGCCATCTGAACACCCCCACGGCCCCTCCTGAGCAAAGGCTGTTCCACAAACAGCCTTGAAAGCGATGTGAAAGTAGCAACCATGTCCCCGCAACGACCCACACTGCTCAGATTATGAGCTTGTCTGCAGCCTTGATGGCTCTGCCTCTGTCTCCAGGTCACTGACATTCTTCCCAAGACGTGTCTGGACCTCCCCAGGCATGAAGTTAGGAAAATGGAAACCAGAGGCAGAGAACGGAAAGGCACCCGAAAGAAGTACCACTTAGGCAGTGAGTCCTCACAGGTTCCTTTCAGTTTGCCAAGAGCCTGGAAAACTGGAAGATATAGACATTCTCCCATAACAATTAGCCTCATTATTACCACTAGCTCTCTAGCGCTTACTTTTAAAAAGCTCTTTCTAGCCTTTCTCTTTAATTCTCGCAACAGCTGTCTAGAGGAACTACTACTGCCCATTATTCGGTAGGTAAGAAAATTCAGGCTGAAAGAAACTAGTGGAATGATCTATAGGAAAACTGGAAATGCATTCTCAATGGGACCATGCAACTCGCTAGTTCTCACGAGCACGTTTTCTCGTGTGTCACTTCGAATTCACATCATTTTTTCAGACCTTGCCATTTAGAAAGAGGAAGCAGCAGTACTTTTCCTCTATCAACTGTGTGTACGTAGAGAGAGACTCACATCTTGTGTAATCGCATATGCCAGTCCGAGAAAGGGACAGGAAGTCTCAGAGGCTGGAGAGCGGAGCTGCAAGATCGCTCGGGCAGGAACGGCCAGTTGGCAGTTCTGGCTGAGAGCTCTTCAGAGGGGAGCTGGCCCTCCAGCCACGCCTGACACACAGGACTGGGCTGCAGGAACAGGTAGGCACCTTGGTTTGCATCATGGATTCTGGGGGTGACGACTGTTTATTGAACAGACAGCCGGGAATCAGAATCTCATCCTGTCTCTGCTGCCGACCACCTACCTGGATTGGTGGGTCAATTCTCCTCTCTGGGCCTCAGTTTACTTACTTTCCAAATAAGAGGATTGGTGAAATGATCCTTAGGTTTCCTTCGAGATTTCAGGCGGTGATTTTCTACAATTCTCTGCATTTCCTGGTGGGCACTCAGTCTTAACACAGAATATGCTCTCAGCAAATACTGTGCAATTAGATTGAATCCTGCATTAGGACCCCACTGTTCCAATCTAATTCTGTAAAGAAAAAATTTCTGTGTGCAGAGCATTTGTTCTCCAAACCGCGCTTTGTGTCTGAAGTGGGGATTTTTGAACTGCCTTGAAAAGTTGGGGGCCACCCCAAGTTTGTCTCCACTTGGTGAATGTGGAAGGACAAAGGATTCTTCTCAGACCATGGAGTTTGGAGATGATGGCATCACTCTAGAGACTTCGTGTGATGCCATAAAGAAGCTTGTTACATAGAATTTCTCCTAAAAAGTAGCAATACGTATCAAAATTCAAGTATCATAGCCTTAAAGTAAATCCACTACTAAATGTTACTCTAAGGATTGATGATTGAACAGGTGAGGCACCACAAGGTTGCAAAGATATTCATTACAGCATTGTTCATATGGCAAAAAAAAAAAAAAAAAAAAAAGAATATGTGACTGGTTAAATGAATCCTGAAACATCTGTTCATTTGAATACACTATTTGACTTCTTAAAAATTGTAGTAAAATATACACAATACAGAATTTCACATTTTAACCATTTATAAGTGTCCAGTTCATGTTCTTATGCAACCATCACCACGAATGAATTCCAAAACTTTTTCATCTTCCCGAACTGAAACTCCATGTCCACTAAACTAACTCCACGTTCCCCTCTCCTCCCAGCCATCAGTCACCATCATTTTACTTTCTGTCTCTGTGAATCTGAGTGCTCTGTGTGTCTCACAGACGTACAATCATACAGTATTTGTCCTATAATTGGCTTATTTCACTTGGCATAATGTCTTCAAGGTTCACCCATGTCGTAGCATGTGTCAGAACTGACCATTTGGCTTTTTAAATTTAGGATTTTTATTATCTATTTTATTTATTTTTTTATTATTATTTTATTATTTTTTTATTCACTAGTGTCAAAGATGTCCAAAGAATAATGTTGAGTGCAAAAAGATTTGTAAATGGCCCGGATAGAATGATTCTGTTTATGAAGACTTACGAATGTGCATAAATATATATTAAGAAAGAAGAGAGAGACAAAATGAGTGAGGAAAAGAAAAAAAAAAGGAAGTAAGAAATAGCAGTGATTGTGTGGAAGCTAAGATGTAAAGAACTTTTTTGTCGTCTTCGTCAGACCTTATTCCCTTTTTGATTGTATTTGCTATGTGATGCATTCTTTTAAACAAAACAGAAAGAAAATGCAATAGAAAATAAATGTACACGGTATCTGAGAGAGTGGAGAGCTAAAAGGTACCTACTCGGCTTCTGTGTCCTAGCTTCAGGCTTAGAACCAAGCACATCCTATAGTCCTTGGGTATGAGAACTGAAAAACACAGAAAAGGATCTAGAACTACAGAGATTTTTAAAACAATTCTTCAGTTGGGGGTCAATCTTTTTCTTTTTCTCTCTTCCCAATTTTACTTTTTAATTCTTTCATTGTGGTAAGAACACTTAACATGAGATCTGCCCGCTCGACAGCTTTTTAAATGTACAACACAGTACTGTTATGTCTGGGCACGGTATTGTACAGGAGGTCTCTAGAACTTAACGTAGAACTGAAATTTTCTACATGTATAGCAACTCTCTATTTTCTCCTCCTATAGATCTTGGCAACCAGTATTCTAGTCTTTGCATCTATGAGTTTGACTATTTTAGATACCTCGTATGAATCAAATCATGCTCTTGAGGTGACTGGCTTATTTCACTTAGCACAACGTCCACAAGGTCAGCTTTAAAAGAAGAAAGAAGGAAATATTACAATATGGACGAACCTTGAAAGACTGGTTACTAAGATGAGAAAGAAGAAGGGGTATACAGGGCATATTTGGGCTTTTAAAACACAGGAACAAGGCAGAAACCAAATCACTAGAATATGGGAACAATTCTGGAGACAGAGACCATCAGCCCACATTCCGTAAGGGCAGAAATGTTCCTGTGGGTTAACACAAAGCTGAGGTGGCAGGTGGTGGACTTTGGCTATGGGGGAGGAAGGGTGCAGGGGCTGAGATCATGTGTAGCTAGACAGACATGCCCAAACCCGCAGGGAACAGAAGAACTGTGGCATTAGACTGCCTGGGTTCAATGCCTTCACTATGTGCTAGGTATACAATCTTGTGCAAACTATTTAACCTCTCTAAGCCACATTTTTATCTACTGAATTCAAGTAACTATAATACTACCTCTGAGGGTAGTGCTCCAACCAAAGCTTGGACTCATAGCGGGTGCTCAGTCATATTAGCAATTACTATCATTTTATTGAAAACTACTGTTTGATTTTGAAACCTAAAATCTCTCCAAAGCTGCTGTTTTTCTACTTCTTTGTCTTTAAAGATGGGCTGGAATGCTCAGTAAAAAGGGCCTAGAACCATCCATGGCATCCTCGTCCCAACTCTACTGCAAGGATTCGCTGTCAACACAGTTCCCCGCCTTGTTCATGTAACCTCACCCATACCTCTGCCCTGGTTCCACCGCCCCCTCCAATGACAATTAACTCCTCAGACAAGGAGAACTTCATTTTTAATAACTCTGGTACTTGATGCCAAGAGAGCATGAGAAACTTGACCAAGGCACCGATGTAGCTGTAGAAATGGGAGAGAGGTCACTAACCTCTTGCTGAGTCTTACGGAACACCTGAGCAAGTCCACAGAGGCAGAAGGGGCACCCAGGTGCATCACCTCATTCGGCTCCTCACAGGAGTCCTTCACGATGGCATTGTTATCCCTATTTTATAGGTAATGGAACTGAGGATGAGTAAGGGGAAATGACTCAACCGTAGCCAGCTAATAAATGGAGTTGGAATAGCAATGAGTTTTAGATGAACTGCTATGCAATGAGAGTTTATCATGTGCCCTGCTCTATGTTGAGTCCGTTACATGCAGCGCCTCGTCTAACCTTCGCCAGGAATCTAAGAAGTGGCTAAAATAACTTGCCTGTGGTAAGGTGATTAATAATTGGTGAGTATAAAATATGAGCACAGGACTAGACTCTAAGACACATGCTCAGGTGTGTGACTAGATGCTGAGGCATCGGACTGCCAGCCCAGCGCCCCTCTCCATCTCCCCCACTAGTTGTGAGATTGTGGATGCCCCCTCCAATCTTTACGTGTTATACACTGCATTCAGGAGAGCCTGGGACCACGCCTAAAACACCAAGACACGGAGGTGGAGCATCGAGGAACAGAACTGTGGCATCGTCGGATTATTACAAGCTTTATCCAAACTATGGTCTTCGAGAGGGGGTGTGTCATGCTAAGAACAGATCCAGGGAGCATCCCAGTGGCTAAACTCTGCTGCCGATGCCACAGGGCCCAGCAACGCTGCTGAGCTGGTGGACAGCAGACGACTTGCTCCTTGAGTCTACACTGGAACTGCCAAAGTTAGGAAGGAAGAAAGAAGAGCATTCCTGTGGTTTTGAGACAAATATCACAAGCTTCAGAGCCAGTTCAACTTGGTTCATATGTGCCAGGCGAAGTGCTTCGTGTGCCTACTGTGTTGAATGAAAATCACCTGAACTTATTAGCCCTGCGTTTCTAATGCTTAGGTAGATTTCATCACACCTAACTGGTTA